TAAGGTTATCGGTAAGGGCAGCGAGAAGTCAGACGACAGTTCTATAGATGAGAAGTACCTGATCGCTACCTCTGAGCAGCCCATCGCTGCCTTCCTGAGGGAAGAGTGGCTGAAACCTGAGGACCTTCCTATCCGTTACGCCGGCTTCTCTACCTGCTTCAGGCAGGAAGTGGGTTCACATGGAAGGGACACCCGTGGGATCTTCAGGGTGCACCAGTTTGAGAAGGTCAGCAAGGATGTAAACGTCACCTTTGAGATCACTTTAGTTTACGCAGTTACTTAAAGAAAACACATTTGTAAGAGTAGCTCTAAGGATTTATCTGATCATGCTCTAAGCTCATAAGATGTATGGGTCTTGTTATGACAGCCTGGTGTTTGTGGTTGTAGATTGAGCAGTTTGTGTACGCCTCCCCTCATGATGGCAAATCGTGGGAGATGTTTGATGAGATGATTGGAACAGCAGAGGAGTTCTACCAGTCACTGGGAATTCCTTATCGCATCGTAAATATTGTCTCTGGTAGGTCTGAGCATCACAGTCAAAGCTGGGGTTGACTTTTTGGTTTAAATTGACAAAGCAAACCGAGTGTCCGTTTGTGTTTCCTCCTTCCAGGGGCTCTGAATCATGCAGCCAGTAAGAAGCTGGATCTGGAAGCCTGGTTCCCAGGATCAGGGGCCTTCAGAGAGCTGGTCTCCTGCTCAAACTGCACCGACTACCAGGCTAGACGTCTCCGCATCCGCTACGGACAGACCAAAAAGATGATGGATAAGGCAAGTACACAGATTAAAAACAGTGACTGGTTTAACTGCTCCTTTCATAAGTCATTAATGGTTTTTTTTCTTGAAGCTTCAAAGGAAACTTAAATATAATTTAAGAAGCAGTTAGAGCTGTTGTAATTCAATTTTTAGAAAACCTTTTGATTTCCTGATTGTAATTGGTGAGTTCGTTTAAAAAGCAGCTCTTGGCCCTGAGCTCCTACAGTCTGAAATAGAAATCTGTGTTATCCAAGTCTGGATAACTTTGGAAACAATAAGAATAATGAAAATATGTCTACTTCTCATCTCCGTTGACTCTCTAACTAGCCTTTGTTCCCTTGTTCTGTCCCACCTCCCTTGTTGTTCCATTTTAATTTCTAATGCTTTCATTGTTTTCATCCCTGGAGGAAGACAATGAAAGCTTCCACAATGAGAGCTTCCACAATGTCCTACTGGAGATCCCAAATCGAATTGACCAATCAGAGGCCTCCTTTCTCTCCTACATGCGAATGCTAGGTGTCTGCGGTCACCTACAATTTTGGGAGGTACACACGACTTTCTGCGCTAAACACTCCTTACTGTCTGTGTTCTGTAGGCGGAGTTTGTGCACATGTTAAATGCAACCATGTGTGCAACAACACGCGTGATGTGTGCCATCCTGGAAAACTACCAAACAGATGAAGGCATCATTGTTCCAGAGAAGCTGAGGGACTTCATGCCTCCTGGTAAGATTGCTGCCGACTCGTTACAGGGCCACCAAGAACGTGTAACAATGTTTGCAAATGTATGGATCCATGTGGATTTAAATGATTTGGATGACAGAGGAAAAGCTACAGTAGATCCTGATATGCCTAGGCCTGGTAAATTTAGCTGGACAATCCAATCCTGTTACTCTGACTGATAGAGGGAATAAGACTCCACTAATAAGTTGCTCATTAACTTGACTTTACATTCTGTTCTATCCGCAGGTTTGACAGAAATCATCAAATTTGTGAAGCCTGCCCCCATTGATCAGGAGATGTTGAAGAAAGCAAAGAAACAGCAGGAAGGAGGGAAGAAGAAAAAGAAGGAAGGAGACCTGCCCAACGCCATGGAGAGCATGTCTGTCAACGACTCATAGACGACATCAGCAACCTCACAGATCCAAAACATCACTTTGACTTCAAAGTTTGTAATTCAGGCATTTCTTTCCTTCTAAACTGAAATAGTTTATTCTATAAGAGAAGGAAACACTTGTGTATCATGTTGTTAGAGGTTGTTTAATCTCTGAAGGGAAGAGGCTTCTTGCTTCATCCAATGTCAGTCTTCATCTCTTTAAAAAATTATTGTCTGTTTTTCCCCACTCTCTGCCTAAATAAAACTCAAGATATAACTTCTTAATCTCCCAGTTGGTGCATTTAGATGACGATGTTTCTTCACTTTAATCTCAGTTTCTTTCTGTGGTCCATTGAATTCACATCAGTGGATGATATTCATTATAATGGACATCTGTGTTTTGAGCAATGTTAATCACTTCAGATGCAATTTCAACATGTTTGGCATATTTCATTAAATCCATTTGCCATATGTTTCGCTTTCTTTCCTGTAATCTCATCACAATCAAAACTGTTGCTGCTTGATGCCAATATTGACAAAGAATATTGACGTCCTCTATATGATTTAAAAATTGTATGTGAATGCGCATTTGGCACTTCCTGTAAACAATAAATACAACAGATGTGAAGTTTTGTTTTTGCTCTCCTTACTGTTAGCTTATTAAAATGAATGACAAAAAGACAACTCATCAAAGTTTGTTGCCAAATTTATAGAAAAATTGTATGGTTTAAATTTATGAAAACATTTTGATCTAAGGACTAAATTGGAGTGTTGTGTACAGTCATGGGCAAAAGTTTTGAGAATGATTCAAATGTTAATATTTAAAAAGTCTACTGCTTCAGTTTTTATAAAGGCAATTTGCATATAATCCAGAATGTTATAAAGAGTGATCAGCCTAACAGCAATTAATGCAAAGTCAATATTTGCCTAGAAAATGAACTTTGTCCCCCAATACACTTTTCAACGTCATTGCAGCCCTGTCTTAAAAGGAGCAGCTAACATTGTTTCAGTGATTGCTCCATTAACACAGGTGTGGGTGGTGATGAGGACAGGGGTGGAGATCAATCTGTCATGATTAAGTAAGAATGACACCACTGGACACTTTAAAAAGAGGCTGGTGCTTGGCATCATTGTTCTCTAAAGAAACATGCAGTCATTGTTGCACTGCACAAAAATAACCTAACAGGAAAGAGAATCGCAGCTAGAAAGATTGCACCTCAGTCAACAATCTATCGCATCATCAAGAACTTCAAGGTGAGAGGTTCCAAAGGCTCCAGGGCGCCCAACAGAGACCAGCAAGCGCCTGAAAAGTGTTTCAGCTGTGGATCGGGCTACCAGCAGTGCAGAGCTTGCTCAGGAATGGCAGCAGGCAGGTGTGAGTGCATCTGCACGCACTGTGAGGCAGAGATTCTTGGAGCAAGGCCTGGTCTCAAGGAGGGCATCAAAGAAGCCACTTCTCTCCAGGAAAAACATCAGTGACAGACTGATATTCTGCAAAAGGTACAGGAAGTGGACTGCTGAGGACTGGGGTAAAGTCATTTTCGCTGATGAATCCCCTTTCTGATTGTTTGGGACATCTGGAGAACAGCTTGTTAGGACAAGACGAGGTGAGCGCTACCACCAGTCTTGTGTCATGCCAACTGTAAAGCATCCTGAAAAACCTAAAAACACAGCCATGAATAAAGAATGGTACCAGAATGTCCCACGAGAGCAACTTCCCCCAATCGTCCAAGAACAGTTTGGTGATGAACAATGCCTTTTCCAGCATGATGGAGCACCTTGCCATAAAGCAAAGGTGATATCTAACTGCCTCAGGGAACAAAACAGAGACTTTGGGTCCCTGGCCTGAAAACTCCACTGATCTTAATCCCATTGAAACCTTTTGGTCAATCATCAAGAGACGGATGGACAAACGAAAACCTAGGAATTCTGACAAAATGCAAGCATTGATTGTGCAAGAATGGACTGCTATCAGTCAGGATTTGGTCCAAAAGTTGATTGAGAGCATGCCAGGGAGAATTGCAGCGGTATGAAGAAAAGGGGTCAACACTGCAAATATTGACTTGCTGCATTAACTCATTCTGTCATTAAAAGCTTTTGTTACTCATAATATGATTGCAATTGTATTTCTGTATGTGATGACACTGACATCTGACATAAACACATGAAAACCAGAGGGCAGCAGATCATTTGAAAATATATTTGTGTCATTCTCAATACTTTTGGCCGTGACTGTATATATAGTAGTAGCCATTAAAATTTTCCCCTTTTCCTTGATTGGCCCTTGGCTGGTCCCCTTTAATTCCTTTTTAGACATCACTATTTGTACTAAAATGTTCTGTCATGATTTGTGGACATGAAGATCTAAAGAGAAGCATCATCTCCTGGTTAGACCCTGTAATTCAGTCAAAGGGTAGAGTCACAGAGTAAAAACATATGCAAGAGGAGGTAACTCCAGTGGGTGGGAGTTGGAGGCAAGTGAGCTACCATTCGGCTGGGACGGGCCATTTTGAATGGCTGCTATTGTAATCTATATTAAAAACCTCTATGTAATGATACATTTGGGTTTTGTGGGGAAGTGCGCTGATGGAAGTGACTAAAAACCTGTTTTCTGACAACCAGAGGCCTGGAACATGCTGTAGAGGTTGTGTTTTTTAGGGCAGCTATCTTATATTGTGGAATCCAGTGGGTAATTGGTCTTTTACAAGTTTCCAAGTCATGGAAGAAATCTTAATATGCTGATAATATTTGGCTATATTTATTCAAAATGTGCAATCCTCCTCTCGATAAATTCATAACAAATCTGCTAGGTGGTCACTATAATTTTTTTTTAACAGTTCATGAAATATTACTTGGTCTCATGTTTTGTTATATTACCAAAAGATGTCCAAGACCAACGCATAAAAACAGGTGTTTTATGATTTCAAGGCATCATTAAAAGATCCAGCAAAGCTTCCCAACAGATTTAAAAGTCAGATAAAGAGCAATGAGGAAGAGGTTTGTTACATATTAACTCCAGTAGACTTTATACCCCTCAGTGTTACATCAAGAAACCTTTAGACCTTGGTGCATTTACCTAAGGTAAGATGAAAAATAACTTTTTCACTTGACAAACTTTAATTTGAGCCAGTATTTCCTTCTGCTAGTTTCAGGCCTCAAGATGGACAACATTTATGAGGATGAAAGTGACATTTCTTTCACTGTAAAGGTAATGTGTTTTTTAAATCCAATACAGATGGTTGACCTCTAGGTTATATTGAAGTATTTAAAATTTGAGCTATCTAGGTTTATTTTAAGGCATAGTTGTTTCTCAGAAACGTTATTTCCGGTCTCTTTAAACACAGTTTGTTGGCCGGGTTGAGGTGGTCCGCCCTTCTGGATTTGAAATCCTGGAGGAAGCTGCTAGAAGCCTAAAGGTCAGGAATTGCTGCCTTCTGCTGTTTCTTTGATTATTCTCTGTGCTGTTTAATTCATGTTCTATTTCTTCACTACAAACTACGCATGGAGGTGGTAGTATTATTCTAAAGCGAACATTTAGGTGGATGAAGCTTGGGTGTTTAAGAAGGACAATAATCCGAAAGACAAACGCTAGCTAACATTAACCCTTGGAGGAACCTCACTGAAGCCCAATCAGCAGCTGTTTATGCCAAAAGCTTGTTCATAGCGACCAAAACAGCAGGGCTTTTCTGCAAGGCACAATTAGACTAGAATAGAATACATTAAAAAGGAATAAAATATTTATTCATTTATTTTTTTAATAAAAATATTATATATCTTTCTATTATCCTTTCCATATAAACTATTGGAAAGATACGAATTTTATTAAAAATGACCTTACTCTTATTGTAAAATGGGCATCCTGCCTAGAAAATCACCACTGTATGATGCCACCTCCACCATCTATTATTCCATGCGTGAAGAATCTCAGTCACCCAGGTCATAGTCATTCCAAAGAAGTTACAAAATAAACCACTGGACTTTGCTTTCCAAGTTTGGAGACGTTTCGCTTTCTATCCAGGAAGCTTTTTCAATTCAAAATGTCTTAATAAGCGTTGAGTTCAAAGCTTTATAGAGTAGACCAACGAAGCCTTGTTATGGCCTGGAAAACAAGCAAACTACACCAGAGGAACAGGTCCATTCCTTAGTAATGGGGAGTCATTCAGGTCTTTGTTAGCCTGCAATACCAGATACTGGCCTATGTCTCTAAAAAGGAGAGTCCTTAGGTTCATTGTTGGCCTGGCTAACCAGGCAAGATGTCTTGGTCCCCTGCATGGCGATTAGGATTATGATAGTGGGAAGGAATCAAATCTATCGCTGCGTTGTAAGTTTTTGAGAGCTGAAACCTGAGTCCACTGTTTAAGGTTGTTTTTTTCTCTCTTAACACAAATGGCTTCCTTCACAGCAGTTGGTTTGAAAGGGGTGGAAACAGCCAGGCAAATTAGCTCCTAGGCAGCTCCCACATCAGGAGATGAAAGAGTGCACATACAGTTAATCATAGTAAGAGAAACAGGACTACACTGAAAAACAGGCCAAGCTCCATCATCTATAAACAAAAGTGCTGATGGCAGCAGCACAGCTGATATTTAAATATTGGATGGTGTCACAGCCAAACAGGAACAGAACAGATGAAACCACTATGATGAGAAACAGCAGAGTGATTGAATTAACAATTACTGCAGACTGGAAGAATAGAGATGAAATGAAGCAGAATGATTAAAAAGATGTCCCTACGTCCTCCAGTAGTTTAAGCCTATAGCAGCACAACTATAGAGATAGCTCAGGCTAACCTGAGCCACTCTACCTATAAACTTAATCAAAAAGGAAAGTTTTAAGCCCACCTTTAAAAGCAGACAGGGTGTCTGTCTCATGGACTAAAACTGGTAGTTTGTTCCACAGGAGAGGAGCTTGTTAACTAAAAGATCTGCCTCCCATTCTACTTCTAGAAAATCCAGGAACCACTTGTAAAACTGCCGATTGAGAGCAACGTGCTCTGATAGGAGAACATCTGTTTCTCTTTATTTGGTAATGTCTCATGAGCTTATTTTAAAAAGTCCAAATGGTTTGCGGTTGGAATGTACTGACCATGGTGACATTTTCAATAATTTTATATCCAGTAGAGCTTTATATCCAGAATTAGCCTTGGTCAATTGAGAAATCATGTCGAATTAACTGAGTTTAATAAAAGTGGAGTTGGGTGAACAGAGGAGATCAGATGCATCTAAGCTTTAAGTCTTAGAGCATTAATAAATATATAGCTATATTGTTTATATTATTCAATTAGAAATTTCACAAAAATGTCTGAAAAAATGTTTACACTTTGTTATATTTAAGATTTTTTTCTTAAAGAGTAGAAGATAAAGGTGAGGATGTGTGAATACGTTCTGATATTCTGCCTACCAGCAGTATGTGTATTTTGAAACCTGTGTTAATCGGACAGTCTTTAATACACTGGATCTTGTTAATCTAATTTCTGTTTTAAAGTTTATTAAATTTGTTTATATTATTACCATACTGATTTAAAAGACCCAGAGAAAAAAAAACCAAACGCATTAAGTAAATCTAAAAAGAAATCCTCAAATCAATCTGACATTCATGCTGGTGATGATGAGAGACAAAAAAATACAATATTTTTTGTATCTTTGTGACTCTGTTGATATCCTCATTCAATTTCTGTCATGTATTTCAAATATAACATTTTCTAAATGTTTTTCTATGCCATTTAATTTTTTTCTTAATGGTTAGCATGTCCAATATATTTAAGTAAAGTCATCCATTTCCTTATTTAAGGTGCCTGATAAATTCAACTCAGAAAAGGCAGCAAAGAGGAGCAAAGTCAACATCTTCTTGACGCTGAGTGGGATTGACATTTTGGAAAACAAAACAAAGGTGTGTGAAATATGCGTTCTGATGCAGTTAAGGTTTTCAAATTGAATTGTTTAATCTGAGGCTTGTATCTGGAAGTGAATGTTAATTCAAAACTGATGTGCATTGCAAAGATGTTTTTTATTTCAAAAGTGCGAAAATCACATTCCTCTGTGCAAATGATCAGCTGTCCTTATTTTTGTTTACTTATAGCACACTTAAATATGTGGAGGGACCATTTAAAAGTAGGGCCCTATAAAATCCATTTTATTTTTTCCCAAATTCCGTTTTATTTTTTCCCAAACTCCGTTTTAATTTTTGAAAATTCTGTTTTTTCTGTTTTAATTTTTGCGGATTCTGTTTTTTTTTACCCTTTACTGTTATTTCAGTTGTAAAAAGAATGTGCTTTTAATGGTAATGATTAAAATGTACACAAATAAATAGGAATTACCTAAAAAAAACACATTTACTCAGTACTTTTACAGCATGATGCAACATAACACTGTACTAACTAAGTACTAAGTATTAACAAAATATTAATGGTTATGAACCAATTGTTATAAATAAAAGTGCTCCATTAGCTTTTTCAAGTAAAAAAATAAAATAGGACCTCTCGATTGTCATCATGTAACAGACAATCCTTGTGAGCTAACTTTCTTCATTTAAGCTTCCCACCTATCAGAAACATCACCATTGAAATACATGATTGCCAGCCTCTTTGTATTGAGTTCAGTGAGTGTCTCTCTCTTGTCTGTGAGAAGAGTTTTGTATTTGCTGAAGCTCTGTTCACAATCAACTGAGCTGACTGGGAAGTAGATGAAGGCCACAGCCATCTCTGCAACTCTTGGGAATCTTGCACTCAGGCCTCTCCAGTAGTTTGCAAGCTCCATATCAGTTGGCAGGGGGTCCCTGAAAACACCTTGCTTATAGGCCAACCACTGCTCACTGAACTCTGCTGATGGGTTTGCCAGGGGCTTCAGTGTTGAATAGGCTTCAATTTGCTTTTTCATTGCTGGAGCCTGCCTGGGATCAAACACCCAGGCCATCCTGTACACATCTCTGGCTGGATGTGTGTCCCAGTGCTTTGAGTACTTTGTGAAAGCCAAACGAAAAGCATCATAGAGATTGTCCAGCACGTCCTTCTTCTCTTGAAAACTAATTTTTTCGTTATTGTACTTCTCCTCCTCACATGGATTTTGGATGACAAGGGGTCAGTGCATCTATTTTTGCGCTTCCAATCAATGGAATGTTGACAAAACTTGCAAAACAATAGTTCACCTGACACGTAAAAGTCATGAGGGTCACGAGGGAGTCGCCATTTTTTCAGTGTTTTGAAGGGGGAGGGTGAGCGGTAATGACCGAGCGGGAGGGGTTGGGTTGCCCAGATTTGCGTCCCCCGCTGTGCATTTCCCCCAGACGTACGTTCTTCTCCCACACTAAAACAGAATTTTATTTCAAATGTAGAAATTCCGCGTTTACACTAGATTCCGTGTCAATTTGCCAATTCCGCGATTCCCTGATTGCGGAAATTATAGGGCCCTATAAAAGTGATTAATTAATCTAATTAGCCATTCTTCTGAATGCTGTACAACAGGAGAGGATATGTTTGGCATCACTGTGCTCTTGTCATGTTATGGTCTATCACAACTATATCATTGCTTTTCTCCAAAATACCCTCACATACAAGAAAAGTGTTGTTTAGAACATTGTAGCAGGAACAGTTCAACAAAAACATCAAGAGGAGAGTTCCGTGCAAACGCAGCAAAATCCAGGAGTACAACTGTCTTCTGCTCAGATGTGTGCTTAGAACTATATCAGTTCAGGTGCATATGAGCATATCTGCAAAGTATGCAGCAAATAATCAGTTTGTCTACCAAAACCAGGTAAAATTAGACAAAAAATTAAGATTCAAGCACAAGAGTAGGAAGTGTATAAAGATTTTTTTTTTAGGTAGTCCATCAGATTGTTTTAGACGTTTTCCACCCAAGAAGAAACAGATCCGGGAACAGTTTGGGCATGATTCACGGGTTTTCTGAAAGGATGGAGATCTCTGTGTCCCCGAGCAAATGTCATAACCAAGTGGCTCATTAAGATTTTAGTACAGTGGTGAGAAGTTTTTCCAGGTCTCCACTGAGTCCATTTTACCAAGTTATAAAGAATCATCAACAAATTCCACACAAACATTCAAACTGTATAACATTACAATATCTAGTTGCTTTTCAGTTGATTAGGAAATGAAGATACTAAAAAAGTAATGAAGCCTACACAAAATAATAGATTTGACATCCCATCAAAAACTTTGAGCCATCGCTATTAATGTGTCTATCAAAGCCTTATTTGAAATGTTTTCCTCATCTTTGTCCCACTTAGTTTCTCCTGTACTCATGTCCTCTCTCCACGGTCTCCTTCTGCGCCGTCCTGCGCTCTTCACCCAAAGTCTTTGGCTTTATAGCTCAGCATCCTGCAGCAGACATGTACCACTGCTATCTGTTCCAGAGTCAGAAGTTTGTGAGTTTCCCTCTATGGTGCTAACAAAATCTGTAAGGGGACTACAGGATATAACAAATAACTTGGATGCTTTCTTGAATCTTTTCAGGCTCCTGTGCTTGTCTCTCTTATCGGTGATGCTTTTCGAGCCACAAAAAAGGAACACAATGTCAGAGCCGGGCGAGATCTCGTTGTGGAGGCACTCAGACACAAGGTTGGGCTTCTTTTTCATGCTGCAAAAAATAAAACATTCACTGCAAATTGTCGTTTTCAGTATGACCATATTGTACTTCTTTGTTTCTTTTAAGAATAAAGTGCTGCAGAGAGAGAACGAAGAGCTGAAGAGGAGGGTTGCACGACCTCATATCTATGAGGCTATGTAACAGCAGTCAGACACACCTGTGCACTGTGGATTAAAACAGGTGAAGTAATTTAGATGGTTTTATAGCTATAGATAAGAGAAAGCATGTGAATGACAAACTACATACAAAATACTTGCAGAATAATAAAAAGATAAAACTAGATTTAAATTTGAAATTATTTCTGATAATACAAAGAATTCAAATATGAGGGTATGATCATAGTTTTCAGCCTTGGATTTGACCCTAATGTTCATTTTTTTCATTTAGCAAAAGGTTTACGATTGTACTAGAAGGACCTAACTGAAATGCTTTCAAGGGATGTTTCTCAAATCCGTCCGCAAATAAGCATTTTAAAATATTTGATCAAAGATTTCAATGGCTTGATTTTTTTATTATATGCTCACACATGTAAGAGAACTGGGAAAAAATTAATATGGCAATTACAAAACTAGATGGTAATATTTGCATTGATCACAGAGAGTTTTATTTTTGACATGTCTAATGTAAATACCATCTAATAAAACATACATATTTTCAAAATATGACTCATTTTACTTTTTTTGTAATTTTTTATTAGTAAAAAAATTACTACTGGCCACTCTCGGCCATCCCCTGGTGGCGCCCTTGTGCATGGAATAAGGTTTCAGGATCACCCCTGGCCATTTTTG